TTCTGTATGACTGACTTTCTTTTGTGCAGCACAAAAAGTGAAACTTCTGATTGCTTTGTGTGAGGAATCAGTCTGATTTATTAACAGATCACTCAGGCATGAACCACATTAACTGATTCTTTTAAAAGGTCGAACTCAAAAAATTTATTATTAATGAATCTAACTTCTCATTAACTCCCATGAACATCTAGAGGGTATGATGGTTTTCCAGTGAATAAAAACTTATGTTTTGGTCTGCTTGTCACACAATTTTATCATATGGCTTTAGAAGACTTGAAACGTAGCGTATAAGTTATATGGACCACTTTTATGAGAAAATCAATGTGCTTTTCTGTAATTTTGAAAACTTGTTAACTTTTCTTCAAAAAAAAAAAAGCAAAACCGAATCTTCTTTAAAAACGTATTTTTATACTATTATGGTATTTATTAATATATTTTTTATATTTTCAGTTTTCATTTTAATTGTAGTCTTCATTTTTTTAATTAGTTTTTTTTTTTATAATAATAATAATTCTATTTAGCTTTAATTTATATTTTATTTTAGTTTTAGTAATGGTTAGTGCCAAGGCAACATTTCAAATTTTCGCTGAAGCTTTTAAGTTTACATTTTTCATCTAACATCTATATTTTATTTTATTTCGGCTTCATTTCAATTAACAGAAACAATATTTCATAGTTTTGGTTTTAGTTACCACTTAACAACACTGCTTGATTTCAGCTTGATTTCAATTTACGAAAACAATTTTTAATAGTTTTAGTTTCAGGGTATGTTTACATGACAGTGATGTACTAAAAACGGAAAAGTTTTGCATACAATGACAACGTTGTGAAAATGATCCCTGTTAAACGTGGATCTGCAAAAACCACTAAAAACGTTGTATTATGCATGCCAGGCCAGCAGTTGGTGATACAACTTTGTAAAGAAACACTGTGTACCTATGGACTCGACACGTAATATGCATGCGCAAGATGTTACTATTTTCACAAATTCCCGTTTTCGTAGTTTACTCAGATATGATAACGTTATTGTTATGAATGTGAACTTTGAAACCCTTTTTTTGCAGTTTGCATTTTCAAGCCCGCAAATTACCACTGTTGAACAACCAAAATAAATAATGTTTTCCATTTTTAGTTAAAAATGGTGTCGTGCACCACTTAACACCTTTTGTGTTCAATGGAAGCAAGAATAAGTAACACAGGGTTTGGAACAAACATAAATGGTGAGTAAATAAAGGCAAACTTTTCACTATCCCTTTAAAAATCCTCTCAGCCTACATTTTTCCTTTATATCCATCAGTGCAATCAGTGTCTCTTGTTTTAATCTCAGCCTCAGTGTCGTTTCCAGTTTGAAGCACAAAAGAAAGAACAAAACAGCCAGAAAAATTTTGGCATCTCTTAAAATATGCCTCCCAGCGCCGTGGAAGGCGCTCTAAACTCATAGACAGATTAACAGTGACATGTTTATTTTCTCTGTAAAACAGCATTTGGGTTTACAACCACCCGGGCACTTTGGGCTCATGGTGATTGATTTAGCAGTAATAAGGAGTCTGTTTCGCCCATTTTATTACACGAGAAATTGTTTTCTTTCTTCTGGGACTGAATGGAGACGCTGATTGATTTTGCCGTGCAAGCGTGATTGCAGCTAATTGGTCTCATTGGTTCTGCTGTGCGATCCGGGATTGTGGGTAATGGGTCTGATTGGCTCTGTTGTAGAAGTGCGATTGTGGTCAATGAATCTGATTGATTGTGATTGGCTAGAGTTTTCACAGGGGTCAGGGTTTGCCTCTGCTGGTAGCGTTCATAACGACACCATGTTGGACTAACTAGACCAAGCTAACCAGCCCGTAATCTCATTAGTTCTGTTGTATAAAATGGCTAATTAATCTGATTGTCTGTATTGCATAAGCACAATTATGACTAATGAATCTGATTGGTTGTGTTGTGCGGAGATTGGATTGTGGGTAATTGGTTTGCATGTGGAATTTGGTTGCATCTTTTCTTTGAAACCATTAAGCATTTTCCAGCCTTCCTCCTTTAAACAAATGACTTCTCAACACAGCTATAGTATAGTAAGGTTGAATTGGTCTGACCCTTTGTGTTAAAGCCTGCTTTCTCATTTACTAAAGTGTGAAACTCATCGTTCTTTCGCACTGAACTTTAGCCATGGCTAAATTAACATTTCCCAATAAAAAAAAAATATTTTATTGGCATTCATTTTATCAAACCAAGTAGTATTGTTTTTCCATGTTTTTAAGTGCATTTTAAGATCTGATCCTACATCAGTCCATCTTTTAGTAGGAATAGTTCACCTAAAAACGAAAAAGCAGAAACATGCACTTTTCCAAGCATGCCTTTCCCAATGAGAAGACTAAAATTTAGGCTGTTATTTCTGCAAAACTTGTATTTGCATTAATGTTGAGATGCAAAAATGGTGTGTCCAAGCGGCTTGCCATATTTGATGTTGTTGATGCCAAATTGCATTAGTCCATGCATGTGTCATTACTAAACTGAATTGAAAAAATAACATTTTAGTACTTTGAATAATAGATTAATAACTTTAATTTCAGTCTGTTCCTCATACGAAGGTATGGAAGCCCATTTCCACCACAAAAAAAATAAAATAAAAAAATAAGTGTGACTAGTTTCATAATTCTAACTTTTTTTTTTGCAATTGCGAGTCTACACCTTGGAATTCTGACTTTTTTTCTTAGAATTGTAAGATATAAACTTGCAATTTTGACTTTTTCTCATAATTCTGACTTCATAATGCGATTGCGACTTCATGTTGCGCAATTCTGAGAAAAAAGTCAGAATTGCGAGATATAAACTGAAATAAAAAGTCGCAATTACCTTTTTTTATTTTGTATTCAGTGGCGGTAACAGGCTCCCATACAAAACTCTCATATGGATTAAAAAGTTGAAATGTTGTGCTTAAGTCATATAGACTGCTTTGAGGGTTTATTTAGAAGCTTGTGGGCATTATGAGAAGTCACTGCATGTAAAAAAAACTGTGTGAAGATGCATCTAAATTCGTCTTTTTGTGTTATGTAGAAGTCAGAAAGCCATTTGGAATGGCTTGAGTTTGAGTAAATGATGACAAAAATTAAATTATTTGGTCTTCGTGACTGGGCATTCGAACAAATGGGTTTCTGACTTTAAATGTTGTTGAATGCATCATTTTCCTTCCTTTCACTGGCCTCAGCGTGAGATCTGATGAATGGTGTGTTTTATAGTATTAGGGCTCTTAAGAAAAAGGACCAATTCTTCTTCTTTTCTCCGCAGCGGGGACACTTCAGTAATGAACAAGCACTTTGGGTGCCGTACTAAACTCCTAAAAGCTTTGTACTGTAAACAGCATGTGAGTAATTTAATGGCTAATGCCACCATAAAGAACGTCCACCGAGAGATTCCTGCATTTGTAATGAAGAAGTGAAGGACGTCTGTGGATTCTAGAGTGAAAACTAAGGTTTCAGCTTCATTAAATGTCGGTTAGAGTGTTGGCCGACAAGTGTTCAAATGAAACGGTTGCCATTTCTTACCAGCAGCATTGAGGAGACTCTGTGGAAACTGGCTCGGGATTGCTGGAGCTCTAACCCTGTAATAAGCTCTAGTCTCCTGCTTTGATGGGCATCTGTTTCCTCACAGCAGTGAGACAGAACTGTACTGTGAAGACAGATTTGACTGTTCAAACTGTGGAATCACAGCCGAGGCCAAACAGTTTTGTAGTTATTTTGATTTTGCACAACACACCCTCATGTTCAACACATACTTGCCAAAGAGCTCTTAGAATTTACTGCATAATTTGATTTATGGCTGGGCGGTTTGACTTTGGCCTGTAAGAAACCACTTAATAACCACCCGGAGCTCCCCAGCAACCACTCGGAACACCTTAGCAACTGCATAGCAATACCCAGGCAAATGCCCAAAAGAGTTTAGCAATTGCATAGCAATGCCATGGAAACCATCCAAAACACCTTAGTATGTGCATGGAAACTCTCTGGCAACCACCAAAAACATATAGTAATGTCCTACATCGCAACGTCCTGGACACCTTAGCAACTGTATAATATTGCTCTGGCAACCACTCTAAGCATCAAATCAACTGCATAGCAACGCCCCGGTAATCATCCAAAACACCTTATTGACTGCATTTGAACTCCCTGCCAACCACTCAAACCACCTTAGCAACACCCTGACAACCAATCAAAGGATTTTAGAAACTGCATAGCAACACCCTGGCAACCATTCAGAGCATCTTTAATAACTGCATAACACCACTCTGGCAACCACTCAAACCACCTAAGCAATACCCTGGCAACCACTCAAAGCATTTTAGAAACTACATAGCAACACCCTGGCAACCAGTCAGAGCATCTTAGAAACTGCATAACAACACCCTGGAAACCACTCCAAGCATCTTGGCAACTGCACAGCAACACCTGGCCAACCACCCAAAACACCTTAACAATTGCATAGCAACACCCTGGGCAACCATTAAACACATTTTAGCAACGCCTTAGCAACCACCCACATCACCCTAGCATCATGTTGAGTTTTTCGTGAACATGACTTTGACCATCATGTGTTAGAGTCTTATACGTTCTGATGAAGAAGAGTATTAGAAGATGGTCCTTTGTTGGAGTAACCATGACAACCTCATTGACCTTTATCAGGACAGAATGTGTTTTGTTGTCAGGCTAAAGCGATACGCAGCAGCAGCAGCTCGATTGCAGGAAATGCCAGAGCGCTGCTGAAGGTTGAGTTTGGCTTCGGTCCCAGAGGTCACAGCAATATGAGATGCTGAAGGCCTCACAATCGCGTCTGAACTGGTATCAGCTCTGACCAGTTTTTGGGTGGAATTGTGAAATGAGTTTGCTCTGCCATGCTGGATCAGCAGCTTTTCGCTTGACTGTTTCTATTTACTCACCCGAGGTGAAAACATGTATCGGTTTTTCTCCAAATAGCGACTCGAAGACTCATGATTTCCTTTCTCTCAGCAGATGTGGACGAGTGCGCCGAGGCCCTGGACAGCTGCAGTATGGATGCCATCTGTCAGAACACCCTCAAGTCATACAAATGCATCTGCAAATCAGGATACAAAGGCGACGGAAAGCACTGTGAAGGTGAGAAACGCTTACAAAGAGAAAAAAAAAAAGAAGGACAAATGAGTTCAGAATAGAAACGCTTGATTGCTGTAACTGAAAACTGAATTACTTTTACTTAGATTCCCCCCTTCTATGTAAAGCGCTTTGAGTGCCATAATATAAATGCCCCACAAGTTTAAGATATAAGATAAAAGGGCAAAAATTGCCCCTGCATAATTACAATAAATCTATTACAGCTGTCACGATAAAAACGAAAAGTGAAAAGTGTCAATTAATGACATTTAGAACTGCACATGTGCATCAGATAGTTTTTTTTGTTTGTTTTTTTTACAGCATTGAGTCTTCAAACCAATCACATGCGTTTCTGTTGCGCTTATGAATGCGATGGCCAATCAGAGGCGTTTAGATTAGTCAGCGCTGAAAATGCCGGAGTTTTGTTTGAGTGCGCACTCTCTGACTGACTTAAGCGTGCTCGTGAATTGTCATCATAAACAACGAAGTGCAGAAAAGATGTGAGTATTAAGAGACTCATTTCGCAGATTCAGTGATTATAACATTAGTTAACTTGCGCTAGACTGGGCATGTTTGTCTGTGTAGCTATAATGTGATGTGCAGACGTTTGACGTTCTATTCTATTAACAAACATTAAAAATCATTATTATAATATCAAGAGCAACAATCGATTGCAATGGTGTTTGTCACAATATTACAGCCTTATGAGTTCTGTATTCTGATTGACTGAAGTAATTGGTTAAATTTAAGTAGCTCACATTAAACAGAGATACAATACAATATCTAAATATTCTTAAATCAAGATACATTTACATGAGAATCAAAATAACTTCAGATATTAAGTCTTGTTTTCTGAAAAAATTTAGCAAAATGGAGTTCATGCTTAAAACAAGAAAAAAAATAGGGGCAAGGAAAATAAACAATTTAAAAGGGAAAACAAGTGTATTTTTCTTACGTCTTGTCATTTTTGCAGCATTAATATGAAAAAAAAACAGGAACAGGCATTATAAACTAACAATAGACATAATAAAATTAAATGCCGTTTCCAAGCTATACACATTAAAATGGCATAGATTTAAAACAAGATAAACGTGTCTGAGATCAAACTGCATAGGAGAATATATATTTAATATGCCTATCAATTTAAGAAGTTAATTTAGTGCAATTAAGTATTAAAAAGAATGCAAAACAAGTCTACTTCAGTTAGATTGTTAGACTCAACTCTAGGTTTTCTCTGCCACAATAATGAATGATCTTAATTACTCATATGCAATTTATTCATTGAATTAAATGGCATATGTAATTAATTAGATTTTTATCAAATGATTAACAGTACAAATTTTTGGATTAAATTTATATTTCTTACCCCACTAGCAAACTGTTTCTCTTTTTTCCAAGCACAGATCTAGCCAAACTTGAGGTTTAAACCATAAGAAAACAATTTGCCAGTGAGGAAAGTAAAATAAACGTGATTCAAATCTTAATATCTTATGCTTCTCAAATATATTTATCTTGTTTAAGCATGGTCAGATATTTTTTCTTGGAAACCAGACAGGATTACTGATTAAGAAACGGTTGTTTTTGCCATGTACTGTAGTCTATAATAAGATCACTCTGGTCGATACTCTGTGTGTGTGTGTGTGTGTGTGTGTGTGTGTGCAGACACTTCAAGGTTTCTTCTCCATGTCTTATTTCTGCAGTTCCTTGGTTTCATTTTCAGACTTACCTGAGGGAAGGGAAATAGGTGTACAAATGCAAGATTAAAAAGATGGCAGACTCAACTCTTTATCCTTTGGATGTGAAATAGAGCATGAAATATCTTACATGTTACCGATAACTTGGACTTGGACTGGTAATTACAGCACAGTCCCAATCACATCAATACAAGGCCAGAAATTCTATTTCTGGAATTGATTTCAAGGGGCATTTTTTCCTTCATAAGGGGAATTTTTATAATTACCTTATTAAATGTATCTTTGTTGTCTTTTATGTCAAATATTTAAAGGGGTCATGAACTGAGAAATCAAAATTCCGCTGATCTTTTGACATATAAGAGGTCATTGTACTATAAAAACATCCTGTAAGTTTCAGAACTCAAAACTTTCTTGTTTGTCTAAAAACAGCTTATATTGAAGCCAGTCAGCCAAAACCACAGCTTGTGGAATGTTCTACTCTATGATGTAATAGTGTGGATAAGTGCTGCCTCCACAGAAATAGATCAACGCCTGCTTCTACATCGCTGCCTGTTTAGCCCCGCCCACCGATTC